ACTTTGATAACATTTTGGTAGTTAGTACTCCCGCAAACTTATTCTGGGGTGCTTCAATTGAAGCTGAGAAAAATGGAGGAATGTGTATTATGAATCTTTTTTTTTTTTGGTCTTTTTGAGACAGGGTCTCTCTGTAGCCCCAGCTGACCTGGAACTCGCTTTGTAGACCCGGATGGCTTGAACTCACAGAGATCCTCCTGCCCCTGCCTCCCCAGTGCTGGGATTAAAGGCATGCACCACCATGCCTGGCTATGAATCTTTTTTAAAAAAAATATTTTATTTATTATTTTTATTTTATGTGTATGAGTGTATTGCCTGTATGTAGGTAAAGTGCACCTGTGTTGTGTGATGCCCCCGGAGGACAGAAGAGGCCATCGGATCCCTTGGAACTGGAGATACGGACAGTTGTTAGCTGCCATGTGGGTGCTGGGATTTGAACCTGGGTCTTCTGCAAGAACAACCAGTGTTCTTAACCACTGAACCATCTCTCCAGCCTCCATGAATCTTATTTTTAAAGACAGGGTCTTACTACGTAGCCCTGGCTGGCCCGGAACTCACTTTGCAGACAGGGATCTACCTCCCTCTACCTCTGCCCCTTAAGTGCTGAGATTAAAGGTGTGTGCCACCACACCCAGATTTTTTGGGTGATTCTTTAAAGCAGATATCCATGAATAAAGATTGTGGGAAAAGGACACATAAGCGTTTCATAATTATTTAAGCAACAGCATATGAATTAATTTCTTGCCAATGTATTTAGCACATGATGGAACTCAGAAGAGACAGAGAAAAGCCATTTACACAGCTACTGAAGAATCATTTAACCAGGTGTGGTGGCCACACCTTTAATCCCAACACTCTGGAGACAGAGGCAAGTGGATCTCTGTGAGTTCCAGGTTAGCTGGAACTATAGGAAGACCCTGTCTCAAAAAGACAAACAAAACAAAACAAAACAAAAAACGAATCATTTAAAAAAATTCCTTTAACATTTTCAGTGTGGGCTGGCAAGGTGGCTCTGCAGGTCAAAGTGCTTTCTGCTGAACCTGATGACCTGAGTTCAATCCCCAAAACGCCACATAGGAAAAGGTGAGAACTCTCCTGCAAAGATTATGGTTTGTTTCTGAAGGTGGAGGAGAAGGAGGCAGAGGAGGAAGAGGAGGAGGAAGAAGAGAAGGAGGAGAAGAAGGGGTTGGGGGAGGGGGAGGAGAAGGGGGAGAGGAAAAAGAAATATTTTCCAAACCTAGCCAAAACCAGAAAACTTTCTGGTCCAAGCAAAATAAATATGAAAGGACTGTTCTTAGATTTAAGTACTGAGCTTTTCTCTGAAATCTGAAGGCAGGTTTTACTAGAGATCTGCTTAACTTTTTTTTTTTTTTTTTTTTTTTTTTTTTTTTTTTTTTTTGAGACAGGGCCTCCTTGTAGCCCCAGCTGTCCTGGAACTTACTATGGTGCTGGGACTAAAGGCGTGTGCCACCACACTTGGCCTGATATCTGCTTAACTTATATTTATAGGGATTTCAGTGTCTAGTAAATTCATTTTTTGTTTGGAGAGAAACTAGAAATCTAAACATCTTTTAAAATTACACACTGAAAATCAGACTCAGAAGTGGACACATATCATAAGTGTTGTGACATGCACCTCTAATCCTGATACTTAGGATGCAGATGCAGGAGGATTGCTATGAGTTTGAGATTAGCCTGGTATACATAGCAAGCTCCAGGACATGATGAGACTTTGTAAAGAAAAAAAAAAAAAGCTATAGTTAAGTAAGACCCAAACATTTTTGTCTTTGGGAGAAGCCAGGCTATATTACTCCAAAGTAGGATGAAATCACGACAGAATTTAGCACTAGCAAGGCTGTCCCTAGGCCCTTACAAAGACATCCTTCCAATATTCTTTTTAAAATTTTAATAAAATCCTTCTTGGACAATTTCTATTAAAATAAGACTTCAAAATTAGTTTATATAGCTTTAGACCTCAAAGAGTTTAGTACCAAAGTAAGATAAGTTTAATGAGAAAGTATTAAATGTGTTCTCTCTGTCCTAAACCATGTTTAATTTAATGTCTCCCTAAGCTAGAAGTATGTGTGGTGTGTCTGAAGGGTATCCAAACAGCACTCATTAAAACCAAGTGGGAAATCTGATGAGTCAAATTGCTGGGTTTGGTATGTCACTTTCTCAATACTGATAGTAATGGGGATGCCTTTGAACTAAATATGGTAGAGAAAAAGCACCTCGCATCCAGAGCTAAGAGCAGATGCTTACAAGAGTCATCTTCAGCAGGGTTAGAGTAGGCTGCCAGGCTATTCTCAGTTGAAGAAGCCTAAAAAAAAAGAAGAAGAAAAAGTGAGGGAGATTAAGAAGCACATTAAAAATAAAAGAGCTAACTGCTGCTAATGCCATAAAAACCTGCTGAGTCCAGTCAGTCACTGGCTGCCTGAGGGGAAATAACGGGCACCAGAACAGCTGAGCATTTAAAGAAGAGGCAGCAAAATGCCTTTTATGAGGATATTAACATGCCTCTCAATTACAGAGTAATGGTAGAAACAGACTGCACTCAGCTGCCAGAAATGTGCATCATCTCCCTCCAAAGAACTTTGAAACCATATCTTAAAAACAGAGCCAAACAAAATCCCTGTGTCAAGGTAGAGCAAAACCCCTTGTCATACCACTAACATACTCCACGGCAAGGTAAAGTACTGAAATATTGGGTTATTCTGGCTCTTTTTGTGTCCCTGGATTTTCATTTATTTTAGTTTTTTTTTGTTGTTGTTGTTTATTTGGTTTTGGTGAAGGTGTTGACACTTGGGAGGTGTAGACAGGATTAGGAGTTAAAAGTAATTCCCATTTTTCACTGTGAATCTGATACCAGCCTGGGCGACAGGAGACCCTGTCTCAAAAAAGGAAAAAACAAAACAAAACAAAACAAAAGACAAGAACCAAATAACAACAACAAAAATAAACAACAGCAACAAAAATTCCAGGTTCAGGGGCTGGAGAGAGATAGCTCAGTGGTTAAGGCTCTTGCTGCTCTTCCAGAGGACCTGGGTTGGTTTCCAGCAGCAACCTCAGGCAGCTCACAACCACCTGTAACTCCAGTTCTAGGGGATCAAACGCCCTCCTCTGGCCTCCATGGGCACTTTATGCACCTGTTGTACATACATACACTCAGGCACTCATGATAAATAAATAAGTAAATCTTTAAGAGGATCCTCTACTACCTCTCTCTCTACTGGCCCCTCACCCATCCTGGTATGTATCCTCCATATCCAAAATCGTGATGCTGTATTTTATGGTCGACACTGATATCAGGATGCCTGATGAACTGACTACACTATAATGATGACTAGCTGACGACACCTGCATGTCATCATGTTCTTTTTTTTTTCCCACCTACTTTATTTTTATTACAGGAATTCTAACATGGCATGAAGTAAACCAGAATAATCACAGTCAACATTTACTGAGTGTTAATTTTGTGCCAGGTATTGGATGAACAACCTCACATGCATTATTTTATTTAGTGATATGAAACCAATTTTCTGAAGTTGTGCTTGGCTAATAAAACACCTTCAAGTGCTGGGCATGGTGGCACATGCCTGCAGTCCAAGCTCTGGAGAATCAGAGGTAGGAGGATCAGGATTTTAAGGTCATTCTTCGTTACACAGTATGTTAAGAGGCCAGCCTGGGCTACATGAGGTTTATCTCAAAAAACCAAATGCTAAGCCAAAACAAAAAAGACTTTTAACCCTTGTTAATTTGTAGGTGTAGACATCCTGGGATGTTCTTCTCATACCTCTAATCTGGCCACCCTGAACCTGTGAGGTTAACGCCAATCATGACATAATTGCACATGGGCAAACAGATGAGCTCACTGCAAGAACTTCCAGGCAGGAGCACGTGAGATTGTGTTCAAACATTTCATTACAGGAAAGCAGAGATTCATTCACAGGAAAAAGGAAAGGGAAAGAGCTTGGCAAACTATTCCATTTCAAGAAAGTTTCCTCTAGCATTAATGTCCTCTTGTAGCAGACCCAAGTTCAAATGCTGCTTAGGTACTGGTTAACAAACCAGGCAAGTAGCCAAAAGGAGATCTAAGGCTCTGAAAAATCTCACAAATTTTAAGGCAGTCACAGGTTTATAAATCTGCAATATGTGCTTGAAGAACATCTACTATCTTTACCCACATCTTTTCCGTCTACCCCCCCAAATTATGATTCACTTGCAACTCATGCTCTTTCACATTATAATTAAAATGTTCTGATCCTCCAGTTCAGCCCAGAGTCCCACTTTCAAATCAAACCAGAAGACAATCGAGAAGAAGAAAGAACAAAATTAGGATACTTGCTATACTTAAGAAATAACCTCTCACTTAAAACATGCAAAATGCAGGCAGTTTAAAAAGAGAAACCACAAGACAAGCAACCTCCGGATCAAGACCTGAGCCTACTGCTGTAAGGATGTATGCGATTTAGTTGATGAGTCAACAATCACACAACATGTGACTGTCAAGTATTTTTTCTTATTATTTCAACATACATTTGTGATATGCTTTTATAAAATAATGTGATTTAAATTTGTTAACTTCTTAGGTGTGGTGGCACATCCCTGTAATCTAAGGACTTGGGAGATGGTGGCAGAGTAGCAATTCAAGACTAGCCTTGGTTACACAGTAAGTTAAAAAAAAAAATATCTGCTGGGGTGGTGGCGCATACCTTTAGTCCCAGCGCTCGGGAGGCAGAGGCAGGTGGATCTCTGTGAGTTCATAGTGAGTTCCAGACCAGCTGGGGTTACAGGGAGACCCTGTATCAAAAAAACAAAACAAAAACATTATTTATTTATTATTTTTTATATTATGTGCATGAGTGTATTGCCTGTATGTATGTAAGTGCGCTCCTGCTGTGCAACACTTGAAGAGGTCAGAAGGTGGCATCAGATCCCCTGGAACTGAAGTTACAGGCGGTTGTTAGCGGCCATGTGGGTGCTGGGAATCAAACCCGGGTCCTCTCAAGAGCAGCCAGTGCTCTTAACTGTTGAGTCATTTCTCCAGTCCCAGTTACATAGTAAGTTTAAGGCCAGCACGTTGTCTCAAAAACAAAAACAAACAGCCCCCAAATAAACAAAGAAATAAAAATACAAATTTCTTTTCTGTTCTATGCTACGAATCAAATTTTGTAGCCACCGTGTGAGGCCTTTTTCTAGGTGCCCTCCTTTGAGTCAAGTGTGTAGTGCATCTTCTTTGTTACTGTTTTAAAGATTTTTATTTATTTTTATTTTATGTGTGTAAGTGTTTTGCCTATATGTACATAACTGCATCATGCTAGTGCCTGCAGAGGCCAGAAGAAGGTGTCAGAGCCCCTGGAACTGGAGTTAAGGATGGGTGTTAGCCTTCTTGTGGGTTTTGGGAACTGAATCCCAGTCTTCTGGAAGAACAGCCAGCACTCTTAACTGCAAAGCCATCTCTCCAGTCCCATGTACTGTGGATCTTGCAAGTTCCTGGAAGTGTTTTGTCAATGCGCCATACTTTAAATAGTCAATTGTAAGGGCTGGAGAGATGGCTCAGTGGTTAAGAGCACTGACTGCTCTTGCAGAGGACCCAGGTTCGATTCCCAGCACCCATGGCGGCTACAAACTGTCCTTAACTCCAGTTCCAGGGGAATCCAAAGCCCTCTTCTGACCTCCGCAGCATTGCATGACACAGGTGCACTCACATACACGCAGGCAATACACTCATACATATAAAACAAAAATAATAAAATATTTTTTAAAAAGTCAATTGCAGTGACCTAAGTTTGAGAAGTACTGTTCTTAACCCATTTTAACACTCTCTTCACTTTTGGAAGAATGCTATCAAAGGTGTTGATATGCAATGGCTTTTTTCCTAATATTAATCATAGAGTTGAAGCCTTTTTTCCTCATCTCATTTAACATTTGATTACCATATTGAAAGACTAAAAAAAAATGGGTAATCGTCTGGCAGCGAATATAAGCTCACTGGATATAAATATCGTTACTTGCTGAAATGAAGCAATTAATCTAATGATTAAGGCACAAAACACAAATATGATTTGCTGATACTCTTTCTATGGCTTTCCACTAGTGCCTGATCATATTTGGCTAGCTCCGTCAGGGTGGCCTAGAATGCTTTTCTGGACCTTGGCCTGGAGTTTCCTTCCACCTGTCTCTCACTCCTGCTTATATGTACCTTGCCAAATTAAGCAAGATGATCTCTAGTTTCGAAACCTCTGCTATGTCTGCATGCCCATTCTTTTTCTCATGCAGCCTTTCTCCATTCTCTTGGCCCTTTTCTGCACATTCTTCAAGACTTGGCTCAGATATCACTTTCTTGAAGAAGTCAGGTTAAGTTATTCTGAATTTCCACAGCGTTAGCATCTCTCCTGGCACCCTATCATACTGATTTATGAGCTGGCTAGTCTGTTAGTTTCCTTGCCACATGATTTGTCTTAAGAGTATGTGTATGGTGGGGGAGGTCTTTGTTTGTAAGACAGGTCTTGCTGGCCTCAAACTTACTATGTATGCCACAGCGACCTTAAACTCACAATCCTTCTGCTTCTGCTTCCTGAGTTCTGGGATTACTGGCATTTGCTACTCGACCTGGCTCCATCTTTATTTATTTTATTTTAAAATTACATTTAGGACAGGCATGGTGGTGCACACCTTTAATCCCAGCACTCAGGAGGCAGAAGCAGGCAGATCTCTGTCAAATAGAGGCCAGCCTGGTCTACATAGTGAGTTCCAGGCCAGCTGTGACTATAAGGACAAACAAAACAAAACACCATACAACCCCCCTCACATTTATTTATTTATTTATTTAATTAATTTATTTAGCGTATGTTTGTGTGGAGGCATGTAACTACTACAGTATACATGTGAAGGGCAGAGGACAACTTGCAAGAGTTGGTTCTCTCCTTTTACCATGTGGTTCTTGGGGGCTGAACTCAGGTCCTTTGGCCTGCGTTCAAGTGCCTTTACCCAGTAAGCCATCTCCCTGGCTTCATATTTAGTTTCTTTTCTTTTTCTTTTTTTGTTTTTTTGGACAGGGTCTTCTTATAACCCCAGCTGGTCTGGAACTTGCTATGTAGACCTCACATTCACAGAGCTCTGCCTGCCTCTGCCTCTGGAGTGCTTGGACTAAAGACGTGCGCCACTACACCTGGCCATCTTTAGTTTCTAAGCTTAGCATTTCTATGGTTAACATAGTACAGAGGGTTCAAGAATACTTTGTGTGAGGACTGGAGATATACGCACTGGTAGAACACCTGCCTGGCACCTTGGGTTTGCTCTCCAGTGTGGCAAAAACAAAGCAACTAAGTAAATGAAAGAAAATTTCTTGTATAAAATGTATTAAGTAAGTCAGCATGATGTCATGAGCCTATAGTCCCAGTTATTTAGGAGGCTGAGGCAAGAGGATTGCTTGAATACACAAGTTCAAGATCAGCCTGAGCAACAAAGTGGGACTCCATCTCAAAACAAAAGACAAAACAAGCAAACAAAAAGAATAACCTTGAGCTGGGCGTGGTGGTGCATGCCTTTAATCCCAGCACTCAGGAGGCAGAGGCAGGCAGATCTCTGTGAGTTCAAGGCCAGCCTGGTCTACATAGTGAGTTCCAGGACAGCTGGGGCTACAGGGAGACCCTGTCTCAAAAAGACAAAAATTTGACCACTTGGGAGGCTCTGCTACATAGGGTGTTTGAGGCCAACCTGGACTACATGAGCCCCTATCTCAAAAAAAAAAGAAAAAGAAAAAAAAGAATAATCTTACAAAAATATATTAAGTATACACTTGAATTAAGAATATGCAAGTGCTGTAAAGATAACATCTCTAGTCAAACAGATTTTTGCAAATTACTTTAGCTTTATGCCCTCTGAGTATGTGCTGAACAAAAGAATTTTCCAATGAAGGCTCATTATGTGGTCAGCTGTAAGTTGCAGTTTCCCAACTGAAATTATGGGACCTGCAAAAAATGACAATCTATCCTGGCAGCTGTTACCAAATTCCCTGACAGGGCAGCCTAGAGTCAGAGCTGTTTCTAATTTTAAGCACATGCCTCCCTGGCAACTGGACATCGACTTTTCAACCTACCTTTTCTCCCTCCTGATGGGAGACGCAGACCTCAGGACCGGGGGACACCTTCTCCTTTTGCTCCAATTTATGAGCTTTGATTTCACCACCACTGGTTTTCAACTCATTCTACAAAATAAAAATAACCTGTGAACTTAAAAAATTCTTACCATTCCATTCTCTTCCTAGCACATCTTTCAAATAAAAGTGGAATGTTAAAAAATTCTTCTCATAGACCTCAGGTCAAATCAACCCCCTAAACTACCACAAGCAAAACCCATCGACTAGTGAAAGGACAGAAGCAGCTATGTGGACACATACCTCCGAGTTAAATATTCCTACACCCTTCTCAACCTAGATGCTCATTAGAATACAGACACATCAACGTGACACACACAGGTAGCCACCCCCAGCACACAACGTTCTTGTGATTCACCCTTCTAGCAGCACAGCTTGTGGAAATGCAAAGCTTGTGAGTTTTATCAGAAAAGACCATTCTGGAGCAGAAGAAAGGAGATGCCAAGTGCCAATAATTAAGAAAATATACTGACCATGTATATATAAATGCCCGGCCTGGAAAGAAAGACAGGGATGATATATACACATAAAAGCTGAAATTATATTCAATGATACCACACACAATCTTTTTCTGTGGAACTTTCATAAAGGTATACCTTAAGTCTATATTTCATAACAGAGCCTTAACATTAAAAACACATGCATTAGTTCTTGTCATTAGGACTAATGAGGAAAGCACATCTTTTTTTTCCCTTGTAAAGGACAGTTGAGACAGTGGAATGTTAAAATTAATTTATCTGTTCCATCTAAAATCAACAAGAGGTAAATGAAGATGGACATTTCCTATTGTTAGTCTGCTTTCTTTCCCCATGAGCGCCCCCCCCTTCTCTTTCTGACAGGCTCTCCTGTACTCCAGGCTAGCCTCAAACTGACTATGTAGCCAAGGATAACCTTGAATTTCTGATCCTCCTCCCTCTACCTCTCAAGCGCTGGAATTCCTGTCTCCATCTCCTGACTGTGGGATTAGAGGTATTTGCCATTATATACTCAGTTTAAAGCAATGCTATGGCTCAAACTCAAGCATTCTCCTAAATGAGCTACATCCCCAGTCCCTTAGGCATGGGAGGAATCAAGCCATCATCTACAGGGCTGATGAAAGGTATGAAAGGTCTGGTACTCTGGAGCAGGGACCTGCTCTATAGATGTACCTATGAGGAGATGGCAGCCAGCAGTGCGGTACACACCATGACAACCCATCAGTTTACTCTCAATATATCTACAAACTCCGCTCCAGAGCTGCCCAAGTACATGCCTTGTTACAATTATGCTCTGAAAGGAATTTGAGAAATTCTTTGAGGATGAGATAAAATGTACTTTTTACAAGAATTTCAAAAGACCTCAACTCTTAAAACTCTGCAGAACAGGAGAACTTTAATGCAAAAAACTATTAGGAGTATTTATTTATTTAGAGACAAGATCAAAGTCTGTAGTCCTGGCTGCCCTGGAGCTAACTTCCAAACTTACAGCAATCTTATGCCACTACATTCCAGATTGTTTTTTTGTTTTTGTTAAGTTTTTTTGAGACAGGGACCCCTGTAACCCCAGCTGGCCTGGAACTCACTATGTAGACCAGGCTGGCCTCAATCTGCCTGCCTCTGCCTTGTCTCCCAAGTGCTGGAACTAAAGGCATGCACCACCACATCTAGCACTGTGTTTTTTAAAAGGGCTGAGTATGTAGCTCAATTTGTAGAGTGCTTGCCTAGCATGGTCAAAGTCCCGGGTTCAATCCCTAGCACTACATAAAACTGTGTTGTGCCTGTAATTCTAGCACCTGGGAGATCAGGTGTTCAAGTCCAGCCCAGCCTCAGCTACAGAGAGTGTCTGAGGTCAGCCTGGGGTACCAGAGACCTTATCTTTAAGAACTACAAAAAGAAAAACAACAACAACAAAAAACAAAAGGAACGTGATGGTTCTGTCTGGGTTACATCTGCTGCTCTCTTTCCAGTGTGCTAAATAAACTTGTTTTCATTCTTTAAAAAAAACAAGGTCACTGAACAGGTTTTCCCACTTAGAAAGTCACCAGGTTGGAAGGTTTGCAGTCGGAGGGCACAGACAGACAGACACCTCCAGCAATAGGAGGCGAGCAAGCATTGCAGATCACCTGTTTGCTCCATCTCCTGACCTATGGTCTAAGGAAAATCTAATTCTGCTCATTTTTCATTCACTGTGTGAGCCCTGGGAGTTCTGCTTTACTGATTTATGCACACAGTCTCTCATTAAAGCTACTATGGCTGGGCAAAGTGATAACACCTTCAGTCCCAGCACTGGAGGCAGAGACAGGCTGATCTTTCTCAGGCCAACTGGGCTACACAGTGAGACCCTATCTTGAAAGTTAATAAATAAAAAGGGCTGGAGAGATGGCTCAGTGGTTAAGAACACTGACTGTTCTTACAGAAGACCTGGGTTCAAATCCCAGCACCCACACGGCAGATAACTGTCCGTAACTCCAGTTCTAGGGGATCCGACAGCCTCTTCAGCCCTCTGCAGGCATTGCACGACACGGGTGCACTTACCTACATACAGGAAATATACACATACACATAAAATAAAATATTAAAAAAACAAACCTAATCAAAAGAAAACAAAAACCAACCAAACAAAAAAGTTAATAGATAAAAAATTTAACTATTGTGAAAAATTGGAGCAAGGGCCAGGGGTATATATAGCTCAGGAGTAGAGATTTGTCTAGTATATGTGAAGACCTGGGTTCCTTCATTACTGAAAGAAAAAAAATTCATTTGTCTCAGAGAATTAGGCTACCAACACTGCTGGAGAACACATACTTATTAAGTGGGGGGAAGAGGGAGAATGTCTAGAATATACATTATGGTCCCTATTTTAATTAATTGTTTATTTGTGTGTCTGTGGACATGTATTTGTACAGGTGTTGGAGTAGGCCAAAAGTGGGTGTCAGATCCCTTAGAGCTGAAGTTATAGGCAGTTGTGAGCTGCCTGATGTGGGCGCTGGGAACTGAACTCTGGTCCTCTGCAAGAGCAGCAAGTGCTCTTAACTGCTACACCATCTCCCCAGCCCCCATATTATGATCTCTAATCTGCACAACTTCAATCTGTCTAGGAAAAAAATAAAACTAGATTATTCTAACTTTGTTAAAAATAATTGATCATCAATAAATCTTCAATTCTAAAATCACAGAAGGAACATGTGTTTGAAAGAAAATATGTTATCCTTAAAAAAATAATAAAAAGTTGGGTTAGGGATGTAGCTCAGGTAATGTACCTCTCTAGCATGCTTGAGGCCCTAGGATCAATCTCCAGCACTGCAATAAACAAACAAACAAGCACATTTTAGAAGATAAAAGCAGATGGTAGGAAGGAGTACTCTGGTAATCCCAGTACTTAGGAGTCTGAGGTAAGAAGACCTCTGTTAATTCAAGGTCAGTCTGGGATATAGAGTAAACTCCTATCTCAAAAAGTTGGGTGTCGCGGCAAGTGAGATGGCTCAGAGGGTAAAGGTGCTTGTTGCCAAGTCTGATGACCTGAGTTTGATTCCACAACTACTCATGGGGGAGGAGAGAACTGATTGTCCTGTGACCTCTACATGTATGCTACAGCACTTACCCCTGCTGGGATAATAGGCATGCGCCACCACATCTGGGAAGAAAGGGTTTTATTATGCAGCCAAGGCTGGCCTTGAACTTGCAATCTTCTTGCCTCAGCCACCCAAAATGCTAAGATTACAGGTGTTGTGCTACTATGCCTGTTTTCCCTTCATTCTGTTTAGAGTATCAGATTTGAGGGCTGGGGATGTGGTAAAGTTTATCTGGTATATGTGAAGTCCTGGTCTGATCCCTAGCGCTACTGGGATGAGGGGTAGAATACCATGTCATCTTTTTGTCATTTACCATCAATTCACTATTCTAGCACTCTAGGAAATCATGACATCTTCAGGGTCAAAGAAAGTAGACAATATAGATTCCCCTTGTACTGGGAATTGAACCCAGGGCCTCATGCATACTAGGCAAATGCTTTACATGCAGTTACAGCCCAACTCTTACAGAATTTCTTCTTAAGAAATGTTCAGGATAGGCAGAGCCATAAATATGGAAAGCAGATTAGTGATTTAGTGATTGGGGGAGTGACTATATGGATAGGAATTTCTTTGTGGGATGATAGAAATGTTCTGGAATTAAGACAGATATAATGGTTGTACAACCTTAAGAATAGACAAAACAAACAAAGAAACAAACAAAAAAACCTCTTAAGGCCTGGTGTGGTGGCGCACGCCTGTAGTCCCAGCACTTGGGAGGCAGAAGCAGGTGGATCTCTGTGAGTTCAAGGCCAGTGTGGTCTACATAGTGAGTTCCAGGACAGCTGGGGCTACAGGGAGACCCTGCTTCAAAAAGACAAAAACAAAACAAAACAAAACAAAACAAAACAAAAAACCTCTTAAGAGGGCACTTAGGATTTTCTTCCCCTGGTTATGGAGATCAAACCTACGGCTTTAAGCTTGCTAGGAAAAGGCTCTACCATCAAGCCATATCCTTAGTCACTGTGTACTTTAAAATGGACTTTTGTTATGTGAATTATATTTCACTTAAAGTTTACAAAAATTCCATAATTAATGCTTCAATGGAATTGCTGTTTCCTTTTTAAAAAAATATTTCACTGGTGCTGGAGAAATGGCTCAGAGGTTAAGAGCACTGACTGCTCTTGTAGAGGGCCCGGGTTCGATTCTCAGCACTCACACGGCAGCTACAAACCGTCCTTAACTCCAGTTCCAGGGGAATCTGAAGCCCTCTTCTGACCTCCACGGTATTGCATGACACGGGTGCACTCATATACATGCAGGTAATATGCTCATACACATAAAATAAAATTTTTAAAAAACTAAAAAAAATTTTTTTACTGTGTATCAGTGTATTGCCTTACATGCATGTAAGTACACCCATGTTGTGCAATGCCCAGTGGTCAGAAGAGGGTGTTGGATCCCCTGGAAATGGAATTATGGACAGTTGTTAGCTGCCATGTGGGTGCTGGGAATCCAACCCAAGTCCTCTGTAAGAGCAGCCAGTGTTCTTAACTACTGAGCCATCTCTCCAGCCCCACAATGTGTTTGCTGTTTCTTATACATTCCCTGACTCTCAAAAATGGAAATATGAGCTGAAGATGTAGCTCAGTGGTAGAATGTTTGTCTGGCATGTGTAGAGCCCTGGGTTCAATCCTTAGCACCTGCGACAAAACATAAAAACAAAAAGAAACTCATAATAAATATTTCTTTTCTTCTCCTTCCTTTCCTTTCTTCCTTTTTTTTTTTTTTTTTGTCCTTTCTGAGACAGCGTCTCCCTGTAACCCCAGCACACTTGGAACTCACTATGTAGATCAGGTTGGATTTGAACTCATGAAGATCTGCTTGTTTCAGCCTCCTGGGTGTTGGGGTTAAAGGCGTGCACTACCATGCATGGCTAAATGTTTCTATTACTATTTGGTAACACTAATGATGCAAAAGTTGGTGTTACTGGCAGGGAACATCACAAAAAATGAGTAGGTGTAAACATGAATAAACTAGGGGAGCAAAATCAGGATTTGAAAATGTAAGACTACAACCTGGGTGAGCACACCTTTAATCCCAGCACCCAGGAGGCAAGCACAAGTGGATCTCTATGAGTTCAAGGCCAGCCTGGTCTACATAGTGAGTTCCAGGCCAGCTGGGGCTACAGGGAGACCCTGTTTCAAAAAGGCCAGAAAAAAAAAAAAAAAAAAAAGAAAAGAGAAAGAAAAAGAAAATATAAAAATATAAGACTACAGAGGAAGTTATAAGAAAAGAGACTGGCCGGGGAGCAGGGAAAAGGCCAGGGCTCAGAAGGTAGGGTCTAGAGACCTTTCCTAGTTCCTGTGGACAATGGCCTTGGCTGAAGGATTGAATGCCAGGTCCAGGTGGAGCACATGCACATACCATGTAGCTGCTTGAACTACTCTGCTTGGACACAGCTGCCTGGTACTTGGCCATTCGATCCTTTATGGAGGTTTCTGAGAGGCGTGGCAGCTCCAGACTTCTCTTACTCTCATGTTTCTCCGAGTTGAAGGCTGAGGATGACAAATGACCTGGAAATAACACGCTTTGTTAGATGATAAAAGATGATCCTAATGGTTTCAACATTCTAAATTGTGGGTGTTGTAAACAAATGGGCAATTTTTCCTATTAAGAGAGAAGAAAGGGGAGCAGGGGTGGGGGCACACTTCTTTAATCTCAGCCCTCAGGAGGCAGGGGCAGGCAGATCTCTATGAGATCGAGGCCAGCCTGGTCTACATGATGAGTTCCAGGCCAGCTGGGGCTACAGGGAGACCCTGTCTCAAAAAGACC